AAAATGATCGCTCTATTGACGGCACGTTTGTTTTTTGCAATCCTTGTGCGCGCGTTGAATTGCATCAGGAAAAGCGCGCGCGAAACTGTGTTCGGCCACCTTAAGCACCTTCAAATTATGAAAACAATTTTACAACACAAAATTTATGAGCCGCACTAATTCTCCAAACTATACTTGCAAACTTGTTCATTCTCTGACGCATTTTCGAGAACTACACTAAACTTCTTCGAGCTAAACTTGTGTGACAGTTGTGTGCCTTTATGACACCAACTAATACAAGCCTCTGAGTGTTTTGATATGAACGCAATACGGAAACAAAAAACATGCTCAAAAGTTTTGTCAAAACTATAGTAGCATTATTACTTTTTCTCTGACGTGTTACTTCTAACCAGAGAACAATTAACATGACTTTTGTGTGACGTGACACCTACTGAGCATGAACCCAAAACGCAGACAAACAAATAAACTCGAAAGTTTAGCCTGAAGGCAAAATCTTAGAGTTCACAATCCATTTGGGTTCTTGAAAATCTTCTCGCTCGCCCAAAACTATAGTTACAGACTTGTTTATGCTTGGACGCGTTTGCATGACTGTTGTGTGACTTGTGATATGACGCCTACTCAGCATAAACCCAATAAACTCAGAATGAATCCAACACGTTAACAAAGGAATAAGCTCAAATTTTGGACTGTAGGCAAAATTTTCAAGCTCGCATTCGATTTGCGTTTATGAAAATCTTCTCGCTCGTCCAAAGTGAAATTTGCTTTGGTTCAGCTGGCTCAACCCATACCACTCGATTATACCGTCCATATTAGCGGACACTTACGGATTGCCTTCTGCTGATCTTTAACTTCGCCTCGAAACTATTCAATATCAATTTCCATCAATTTCTCCTCTTTCTCACCATCGAACACAGTGTTTGGCTTATATTGAGCTCAAGCTTTGTTCTGTTTGTTATTTCTAATTTACTGTCAATGAACTCTGACCGAAGAGTAAACGAAAAAAGTTTCCAGTTTTAGTGTAACACGCGTACTTACTGTACGTGATATCTAAAATGATCCATGCGCCCGCGCTATTTACTCATGCACTGATTTCTAAGGTTTTGTTCACTGGTCAGCAGAAATTACACAAGAGCTTAACGGATGAGTGACCGAGTACTCATTTGCATATTATTTGCATAATCTGCACGCCACCAATAACTTGTAACTTGCTATCGCAATTCACAATTTAAAAAAGGAATGACCGAGGACAGTGGGATGTTCATCTGTAATTTTGCATCCAACGGCTCTGCCGACGATTTTCTACGAAGCAGGTCTTGAAACAGCAGGTCGCAACAGAAGATCTAACAGGTATTCTCCGCCTTAGCTTTGATGGACGGGCTTTCCATTGTCGAAAGACAGCAGTTAACCTGTCTTCGTCAAAGTTTCTCAATTGCCTTGCTCTCAATAATAAATGAGTTGCAACTGACTTGGAATTAAAAAAGTTGCAAATGACTCCGAACCTATCATGGACTAAACAACGACTATTAAAATGTGAAGTAAATTTTACGAGAGAACGGAAATCAGTTTTCACAGCATGAAGGTAGCCATTCTTAGTTGGATTATGCTGTGCTTTATGGTACAGCAAGAGTCAGGTAGGCAACTCGGGCTGATAAAATGCCCCAAGACATTTCGTAACGAAGAGGCCTAGTTAACATTTTATTTTTTGGATCTTTTGTATTATATTATCTCTCCTTCGTTACTAGCCGGATTGGCGCACAAACACTCAGTCGAATTAAATGTTCTAGCCTATTCTGTGCCCTTAGGATCGTTGCAGAACAACATCATTAACATTGGCTACATTGCTTGATTTATTTTTATTTATATTTGGCCATGGTATCAGGACCTGATTTCTTAAACATTGCGTCCACCACAATGTAAGATTATGTCACCTTTTATAATTTTCCTTTTTATTTATGCTTGACATTCATGAAATAGGGACTTATCCGTTTGATATGAACTTTTCATTTTCCTTGAAAAATTGGTTACTAAATTTAATTCTGTTGGAACTATATCAGAAATCAGAACACGGCCAAAAAAATATTTGAATTCATGCCAATGAAAGTTTTGCTTTGACGCGTTTTTGCTCCATGTTTACAGTCCCTTATTCTCCTTGCAACTGAGTGCTCGACGATATAAGATAATTAACAATTATTCCGTGAGCCCACGTTGGATAACAGGTGTTTAATAAGAAACGAGCTCGTATCCAACAAAGGCTAATGGCATAATCGTTTTATTTGAAATAGTCTTCAATGGACTGCGTGATGTGGATATTTCACTGTAATCGATGAGTTATGTCAGGAAAGCGAGCGAGACAGAGTTTTATTCTAAAATATTTTTTGCATGATCACCTCCAAAGCCGTCAACATCTTGTAAAAATGTACCAAACGAGAAAAGGTTTGCGGGAAGAAGTGGCGTTCCAGAAAATTATGCGCCTTGGTCAAGTCAGATAAAGCTAGAGTTTATTTGTTTACGCGGCATCACACTCTAGGTAGTTGAGTTAATTATGACATTTTGTAGTTTCTAGGATGACATTTCCTATAACTTCTTGTATTTTCGCCGCAACGGAAAGCTTACCCTTACCAATGTGCTGCTTTCCGCCCTTTTTCTCCGAGAGAGCTTTGCTTTACCGGCGAAAAGTGTAACTTTAAACGACACATGCAGCACTCGTTTTTCATACATGATCAAGCACTGGTATAATGGCTTGTAATTCTAAGCAAGGCATATTTTTAAGGATATCTTTAATGAGAATTACAAATTAAAACATTTCTACGTTAATGTTTAAATTCATTTTGATTTTATCGTCATTATTTTCATTGCCATTGTCATTGTCATTGTCATTTTCATTATCATTATTATTATCATCATTAAAACAGAGATTCAGTGGACCAAGCAGAAAGTTGAAAATATATTTTCCAAAGTTTAGAATTTAATTATAGCATTTCCACTGCGACGTTTTTTTCTCTTGACAAATGGTTGGCGTTATATAGAGAAGCGCTTTTTCATTTTTAATGTCTATTTTTCTTTTTACTTGTTAAAGCGTTTCTCAAAACAAACTATACGAAATTCCATCTCAAGACAATTTAACATGCTAGAATGCTACAATGCTAGAATCCATAGGCGGTGATTCTTTGTAGCCTTGCCAGGCCTTCTCGTTTGTGTTTAAAAATGTTTTTTTCCATGGAAGTAGAAATGGTATGGAGATGCTAAGAAAATTCATGCAATCTTAGAATTTATCAATTCACAGTCGTATAAAGGTGTCAGTAATAAAAAATAAATTTAAAAAAGTTCACCTTACTCAAGTCTTATTGTTTTGGAACAGGCGTAGCATTTTGCGTTATAGAACTATTCAGTAGATGATATGACAGACGTTAATGAAACTCTAATTAACCCCATTTTTAGAATGCAAAAGAATCCAGAGAAGGCGGCCTGTAGAAGTACTAAGTCCATGGAAAAATAACAAATCGATTCACAAAGTTAAAGGCGAGGAGAAACGAAGTGCAATAACGCGATCAAAACTGGTTAAAACTCACACGGAACAAATGCTTCACAGGTATGCACGTTCCGCTTAGTCGATACATTTAGGTAGAGTGCATGTCATGTGTAAGTTTTGTTTTGTGTATATAATTACTATCAATGGTTAACTTAGGGTCTGAGAATTTAAGAGGAAGTCCTCTTCAGGGGGTGTTAGCGCTGATTTGTATTTGTTGTTGTTGTTGTTGTTGTAACATTTTTGAGAAAAAAACCTGATTTCCATAACATTACAACCTTTTAAAGCACGCTGTAAAAGAAGTTTCCTCACCTTGTCCCGTTTTTTGCTGGACTCTTAATATACAATGTATAGATATGTTAATCTATAGACAGTATCATAAACCTCAACCACTAACAAAGGAGAAGAACATGAAGAAGAAAACTGGCTATCGTCATCTTTTACGTTCATAAAATATCCTTTAACTATAATCTACCAACTATAACGACGGAGGTTTTGTAAAAATGCTAAATATCTATGAGTCTATATAGAGAAGTATAACACCGAGAGTAAAAAGAAGTAATGGTTGACTAAATGAAGTCTCTCTAATTAACGATGACTGGACAACTTAGCACTGAAAATCAGGAGCAACCTTAAAAACTAGTTCTACGTCGTTTAAGTAGTTTCAATTCTGGGACACTCTTCAATCACAGACGTCTACAATTTACTGCATAACAGCTTTGTTTTCCCCCGGAAAGGTCCTTTTCGTTATTATTATCAAAGTATCTAATTGTTAATCTTTGCAGGAAACACGGACACAACACACCCTTGAAAGAGAAAAGATCATCTAACTATTCCGAAGACTTCGGTTGCTGTGGGACTGCCACAGCAATAGGCACGAGGAAGGATGTGTTGGTAAGAAATCCTAAGAATGTCCACTTTGCCAAGAAGATCATAGTTGGTAACCGATTTCGACAACTTTTAAAAGCATTGTATCGAGATCATTCAAAAGATGCTCAGGCCATCAAACGAAAAATAAACGATGGGCATTTTCAGCTGTCGGGATCAAAAGGAGAAGAGGAGGACGCCAAAGTCAACATATATAACATAGAGGACAGATCTGATGCGTCCAAAAACAAAACCATAATTGAACTTCGCGCTGCAATTCTCAAGCTTTTGGATAAGGTCGTAAAAAAGGCTAAGTCTGTACACATTGCTAACAAAAAAGATCATAGACAAAATTTTCCAAGTCAAGTGTCCGAAAAAAGACATTCTAGCAAAACTGCCAAGACAGAAATTCAAGAGAGTTACAAGGATACAACTCATACACCTTTAAACGATGACGAGGAACTTTCTGCAAAGCGTGCGAACTATTTGGATCTCCTTAACTTCATTGCACGAATGAAAAGCGAGGAAATCGGACCGGATTTGGCTTCTCGCCACGGGTTGACAATGCCTACTAGTTTAAACGGTGTGGACTTTAATGGATTGAACGGCATGGTGAATACGCGAGATGTGATGAAACAGAATTCCTTCCCTTCAATGTCGCCAACGTCCGAATATGCTCAAAATGGCCTCTTGCCAGGAAATGGTCTGCAAATGCAAGAAATGAACCTAGCAGAGCAGAGAAAACTAATTGAAGACCAGATGGAGAATCACATCGCTCAACTCCAGATGAAAGCTAAACTACAGGAAGACCAGCAAGATGCAGCTCCAATGCAAAGTCTTCGAAACTTTCAAATGTCGAATTTCATGGGAGCTCTTCAAACTCCCATGACTACCCAGTCAGACGGGCCAACTCCATTTGGATTTAGAGTACAACCTATGTTTCACCAACCGTCTTTCCTTCCCCGTGTAAATCCATATTTACCTTTTGCTAGACCCCTCTCAAGGCTTAGGACAGGGCTACCCTTCTTTAGGCCAGTGACTCCAAGAGTTAGATATCCGCTGGGCAATCAGGACGAAGATGACGATGACGAAGATGTCGACGATGACAGTGACTATGATCGTGATCGAGATGAACCTCCGCCACCTCATCTGGACCGTGGCTATGAAGACGTTGACAAAGATGATGTCGATGAGGAGCAAAGTGACGCTGAAAATGACGAAAGATAACATCGCTAGTTGCTCTGTTGTACAGTTATAATATTAACGTAGTGCCTAATACTACTATGACTCAATTGATATGCGCGGGCATTCACTTGTAAATTTGAGGCTTATCTTCTCCTGGAAAACATGTATGAGAAGTCTCTCGTTCATATGGTTCATGTTTATCCTTCTTGCTGACAAATTTGTCAATTTGACATTTTTCACTATGGTTTAATAATTTACAGCATCCATTTGAAAAATGTAAATATCTCGAACATACAGGGCGTGGGTTGTTCACTGATCGTGTGAAGGGGTTCACTCTGGCATTTAGAAGTGTTCAGTAGCACCCAGTTCCAGGCGAA